GCCTTTGCGGCACTGGGGTAATGTTGTTGTTGAATCTACATCAACACGTTATGTATATTAATTAATTTATACTTTGAGGTCATGATCGTTATCTTGTTATGTTAGACTGAGTCTTCCACATGAAAGAGATGTTCAAATCTATTCTAAGAGGGAGGGTGTTTGGGAAAAAGATGGTTCTGTTTTCATGTCATAGCATCATAGCATCCTTCATAGGGTTTAACACTCATTAATGTTAATTGTTAAACTGGGGACATATTTTTACTTTTTTTTTTGCTTGAGTCTTCCCCTTGAAATAGATCTTCAAATGCATTCTAAGAGTGAGGGGTGTTTGGAAAAAAGATGACTATCTTAGTATCCTAGGTCTGTTTGTTTACAATTTAATATTTTACTTTCCTGGTAGGTGTTTTCTTATTTTTCTGAAATGAGGGGAGCCTCAGGGTAAGAATCAGAGTTTGTGCGGTGTGGAGAATGTGTTGGTTTAAGGGTCTTGTTTGCCATTTGATTATTCTAGGTAGGTGTTAAATGTTTGAGAAAGCTACTGTTTTTGCCTGTTATAAGTTATTCTGTCATTTTGAAACAAAGTAACCAGAAATAAATGATAATTGTAATCAAAGTTTAGAATAACTGGGTGAGTTCATTGTAATAGATATACTTCAGTTTCAGGATCTCAGAATCACGTTTAGGGGTTTCGTATTTTTTGTTTGTTTGTCTGGAAACAGCAGAATGGTTTGGGTTTCAGCAAGTTGAGGAAAACTTCCCTCTACCGTCAACCGTGTGACAATATGCCTGCATTACTGTTTTTAATGAAAGTCTTCATCTTTCTTTTTCAGATGTTCCAGTTTGAAGCATATATATGATCCCGTTATATAGCTCTTACTTTTCGTGAACTTTTGATGTATGCCTACCGGGATGAATGTACCCTTGTCTGATTTCTTTTGGTTTCTATGAGTGACCGGGGAGGAGATTATACATTATGGATCCAAAAAAAATATATTTTGAATCTCTTTTGTACTCTGCAATCATTTGTAGTTGGAGAATAAAAGTATGGAAGGTTTGGTTGTTTTTTTATCAATTCTTATGTGCTAAATCGTTTGTAAATTGATCAAAATTGACTTGTATGTAAAATCACTCGTATAGAACTCTCTTCGTTCCACTTAGAGGTGGACTCGGGCCAGGCCAGTTTCGGGTCAGGCCTAGGCTCGGGCAGGCCGGCGGTTGTGGATAGGTGGGCCCGGGACCGGCCTGGGTAGCCGCCGGGTCCGGGCTGAGCCCCGGTTTTGTTTTTTTTTTTTTTTTGCTTACCTACCTATCCCGACCCACCCCAAACCCCCCACCCCCCAAACCCCCTCCTAAACATCAAGCCCAACCCGGGTGGAGCCCAAATAAATGAAAAAACAAAAAAATCAATTTGGCTCGAACTGGGCTCGGCTGGGGCGGGCCTCCTTTTTACTCACCCGAGCTTGCCCCGCTTTAGATAAATAACTGGGCCTTAGACCGGTTTTGGGCTTGAAGAACTGTGTCGGGCTGGTCCTGCACAGTAGCGGGCCGGGTGGCCTGAACTGAGTCCAAGCCTAGTTCCACTGTTCCACTTAAAGGTTTTCACGCGGTTTACAATATTTGACTAACCATAAAGTAAAGTGATCTCTGTCATTAATAAGATTATTTTTAGTAAATAAAATTTACATATTCAGAAATCACATGAAATGTTTTTATAATACATTTCATTTTCATTTACCCCAGTGCCACAAAAGCTCCCACCTATGGTGGGGTAAGAGGGGGTCGGATGTACGCAGTCTTACCCCTGTACTAAAGCACAGAGAGACTGTTTCCGGATGACCCATAGTGAAAATCCCGTTTAAAATTGCATGGATTTACTTGTGCTTCAAAACAAAGAAGCGCAGATAGTGAAGTGAGCCATTTTGCTTTATTCCATCATAATCTCAAGCCAAAAAATAATGAATCTTTGGCTCCATTACAAATGATGGAAAAGTTTTTATAATACCTAATTAAAAAAATTAAATTTGATAAATATTGAGTATATAAAGTAAAAGATTAACAACAATTCATGTTGATCGAAGAATAGTGGATGAGAATCTTTAAAAGGGACAGAGAGTAATATTTTAGTGTAAAAGTTGGCAATGAATTTGGTGTAAAAGTCATTCTACTCTATTTAAGAATTTCATGAACCTAGTTCTATTTTTGTCCATGAATTTTATTTTAGTATATTTTAAAAGTAACTACATTTAATTTTTACACTTACGTAATTATGGCACGATATTACATTAATTTTTTAGTCATATTTTTGCAAAACAAGTTTTATTTCAATACTATTTTTGAAAAAAACTCGATTTATAAACCACCAAATATTTGTCAGATTCTTTTTGTTAGGTTTTTTGTAAATAGTATTTATTGTGATTGAGAATAATTGTAGGTCTATTAATATAGATGAGATTCTTTTAACTGATTTAAGTCATGGCCTTTTTATGAATATTATTACACCCTCTGTCCCTCTAAGTTTGTCTCGTTTTACCTTTTTCGTCCATCCTATTAAGTTTGTCTTATACCATATTTGGTAATATTTGGATAGTTACAATTCATTCTTACTTTATTCACACTTTATCAATTCAATACCAATCACACAATTTCATTTTTTCTTAAATGTTGTGTCACACCCTCTTGTCCCAAACATAGTGGGACGGAGGTAGTAATATAAATACAAAAGAAAAAATATGCCCTCTTTAATTTTTTAAAATTGTGACTGATAACATCTATGGATGGCCTCGGGCCGGGTGGCCAGACCCGAAACCGGCTCGGGACCGGCACTGTTCTGGCCCGGCCCGACCCGGTGGCCCGATTAGTGACCGGTTCGGGTAGGCCCGACCCGTGGGTTTTCCGGTCCGGGCTTGGGTCACCCAAAACAAGGCCCGACCCGGGCACGGTTCGAGCCAAAACTATTTTTTTTCAATTTTTTTTTAAATTTTCGGGTTGGGCTGAGTATTTTGGGCCATTTGGGGTGGTTTGGGGGGTTGGGGGTATGGTTGGACTCGGGTCGGGCCACCCGGCCCGTGGACCGGCCCGGCCCGTGGACCGGCCCGGCCCGCTACTGTGCGGGACCGGGACCGGCCCGGTTCTCGGGTCCGGGTCGGGCCTAGACCCGGGGGGTAGGGCAGGTCCAGGCTCGGGTCTCAATTTTGGTGAACCGGCCCGGCCGGGTCGGGCCCGGGCCAAATTGAATTTTTTTTATTTTTTTTTCATTTTTGGGGTTCCACCTGGGTTGGGCTTGATGGGTAGGATGGGTTTGGGGGGGTTTGGGAGGGTGGGGGTGAGGGGGGGGGGGGGGTTAGGAAAGCAAAAAAAAAAAATCCAAACCGGAGACCCGCCCCGGCCCGGCCCGGACCCGGACCAGACCCGGTAACTACCCGGGCCGGTCCCCAGGTCCACTATTCTTGAACCGCCGACCCGGACCCGGCCCGGACCCGAGTCCATCCCTAGTTGGGGGGGTTAATTAGGAAAAAAAAATTGGTAATGGGCCCGGCCCGGCCCGGACCCGGTGGTTACCCGGGCCTAAGGATGGACTCGGGCCGGGTGGCCCGACCCGGAACCGGCCCGGCCCGACCCGGAACCGGCCCGGCCCGACTCGGTGGCCCGGTCGGTGACCGGTCCGGGTAGGCCCGGCCCGTGGGTTTTCCGGTCCGGGCTCGGGTCACCCAAAACAAGGCCCGACCCGTTCGAGCCAAAAACTATTTTTTTTTCAATTTTTTTTAATTTTCGAGTTGGGCTGGGTATTTTAGGCCATTTGGGATGGTTTGGGGAGTTGGGGGTGGGAGGAGGGTTAATTAGGAAGAGGAAAACAAAAATATATATAATGGGCCCGGCCCGGTGGTTACCCGGACCGGTCCCGGTGGTTACCTGGATCGGTCCCGGTGGTTACCCGGGCCGGTCCAGGGTCCACCATATCTGAACCGCTGGCCCACCCGAGCCTAGGCCCTACCCGAACCCGGCCCGGACCGAGTCCATCCCTACCCGGGCCGGTCACGGGTCCACCACTCCTGAACCGCCAGCCCGCCCGAGCCTAGGCCCGACCCGGACCCGAGTCCATCCCTAATAACATCACTTTGGCCCTTTTTTAATACTTACTTAATCCTATAAAATTTGGCCACGATTGATTGACACGTAAAATAATAAAGTAAAAATTATGCAATTCAAATTTAAATAGAGGTAGGCATGGACCTATTGATGGACTCGGGTTGGGTCGGGCCCGGGCCGGGCCTAGGCCCGATCGGTCCGCCGGTTTGTATGACATGGGCCCGGGACCGGTCCGAGGGTTGGACGGGTCCGGTTCGGGCCGGTTAATTTTTTTTATATAATTTATATTTTATAGTTTATAGTTTTATACGAGTATTAAAAACAAACTTCAAGTGCATTTATTTGAAATGAAATAGGAACTACATTTGAAAATTAAAACAAACTTTAAGAGACAAACAGTTTGAAAATTGTAATCAACCGAAACTTCCCGCACCTCCCGATCCTTTAGCTTTGTCACATGACTTCATATGCTTGATTGTCATCCCGTATCAGTCTGAAACCCCCATGCTACATTTTTTCTCGCACCATTTGCAAATTGCGTACCACATCCTGATCTTCGGGTCTTTCTGCTTATCAAAATTATACCGTATAATGGCATCTTGATTTTCCATCTTAACTTCTTAAGTATACACTATAAAGTAGATATATAAATAATAAATATAATATATTGGAGAATAAGAGAATTAGAGAGTAGAGAGTTAAGAATAGGATTTAGGAAGAATTGGAGAAGAGATATGAAAAAATGTTTAAGATTAGGAGTATTTATTGGTTTTTTTACCCCCCACCCCCCACCACCACCCACGCACCCCCCCCCCCCCCTTTACCCCACCCAACGGCTATATAGCCGTTTCGGTTGTCCCCAGCCCCACCCCCAACGGCTAGTAGCCCACTAGCCAAGAGCCCAAGACCCAATTTTTTTTTTTTAAATTGACCGGACCCGGGCCCAGGCCCGACCCGGCCGGGTCGGGTCACATTAATCCAGCACCGAGCCCGCCCCGCCCATTCCCACCGGTTCGAGTCCATACCCGGTCCCGGACAGCCCGAATGGGCCGGTCCCGGGCCCGCACATTACCGGGCCGGGCCGGGTGGCCCGAACCGAATCCAACCCTACATGGACCGGTTCCGGTTCGGGCCCAGTTCGGGCCTGGGCCCGGTCAGGCCTTGGTTCAAGGGAGGCCCGGAACCGGCCCGGGTAACCCCCGGGTCCGGACCGGGCCTTGGTTCTATTGTTTTTTTTTTTTTTGACTTTTCCTAGTTAACCCCCAACCCCCCCCCCCCCCCCCCCAAACCAACCCTAACCACCTCAAATGGCCCAAAATACCCAGCCCAACCCAAAAACTTAAAAAAATTCAAAAAAATAAAAAATAAAATTGGCCCGGCCCGGGCCCGAACCGGCCGGTTCACCTTTTGAAGGGCCCGAGCCCGAACCGCCATCCCAACGGGCCGATTGGCCCGAACCGGGCCCGGAACCGGTTCACCAGGCTGGGCCGGGCCCGCACAGTAGCGGGCCGGTTGGCCCGGCCCGAGTCCACCCCTAAATAGAGGTGAGAAATAATTTTAACAATTTTAAACGGAAATGATAAAGTTTTTTAGAACGGCAAAAAAGAGAAATTTGACAACATAATTTACAAAGGGGTTATTACATTTATTATTGTAATCAGGGATGGACAAAGTTCAAGTTCGGGTTGGTTTCAGTTTCAGTCTCGGACTAACCAAGCCTAACAAGTGTTCTAAAAGACAAAAGACGTGAGGCGCGACAAGGCGTCAAGACTAAGCCTCATGTTTGTCTGGGTGGGATTGTGGGAATAGGTGAACCCTAAGCATAAAAGGGTGTTTTAGATTTCTATTGGTAATTAATACCTCTGTCTCAAATTGTTTTTCAAAATCAACATTTTTTCACGAAGACAAGAAAAACAAGCATCTTGAATCTGTATAAAAATTATAAGAAAAACCCTTATATACAAATACAATACAAGGAAGACAAGATGAACAAACACTTGCTATGACACTAACTCCCTTGATCTGAATAGCTTTGAGGTCAACTGCAATTGATCCATGTGCTATTTAGGACTTCATTTCTTCACAAACTATGTAATATAAACTATTGAGAAGCTTGATCTCATATCAAAGGAAGGGGAGAGGGGTTTACAGACTTACAATGATGAACAGCTGTGCCTGGAAATGAAAGTGTTGATCAAAATATTAAATGCATATTATCGGTATGAGCTGCCCAATATAATACTACCTCCGTCCCACTAACATTGGGACGGAAGAAGGTGGCACGGTTATTAAGAAAAGTGGGTTTATGTGGTTGATGTTGAATTGATAAAGTAAGAATGATTATGAGCCACACAAACTTTACCAAATATTGTATGAGACAATCTTAGTGGGATTTCCCGAAAAGGTAAAATGGGACAATCTTAGCGGGACGGGGGGAGTACTTCGTATCATCTTCCAAAAGCTTTTGTCCCCAAAAAGACATCATTTCATTTTTCAACATGTCATTAAAACTTACAAACAAACAAATATCATTAGTCAAACCAACAAGTGAATACATATATACATACCAAAAGGTGAAGACACAAATTTTGATGTAACAACAATTACGCAATTTACCTTGCCAACTCTTTCCGACAAAGGGATCACTACCGATCATAGGGCATTTTGATAAAAGATTGACTTTTCTGCAATAGAAATGCCAAGATCTCCATAATGGTGTCTTGCAGAATAGCTGATGAGCTAGCATCAAATGCCAAACAAGACAAAAGAATATGTTTGGAAATTGGAATAAAGGTTGGGGATGCTTTAAAATGAAATTTGAAATGAAAACTGCATGAGCTTATGTGAAATAAGCTTGATTTGGTTCAAGAGCATACCTAATAATCTTAAGGATAATTAGCTTCTCACACGTATCCATGAGCTTTTCATTTATAATTTATATGTTTACAATTTTCTTTTGAAAAGGTTATTTTAAAAACTTATAAAAGTCCTTTGTGTCACTTTATGTCTCTGAAGCTAGCTTGTCAGCTCCTTTTCTCAAACCCTAATATTGAGATCAGCTAACTTTTGAACTATAATACCTGCGGCTATAAGTTGTTATTTGAATAGCTTCCTCAAAGAGAAGCTAATAACGAGCTAATATTTTGAACAGCCAAACAAAGCCTAAAGACTGGATAGTGAGAATGCCCTTCTGTAGAAAATCTGGATTATTGAATACTCCCTGCACCCCAAGGCCCAAGTACTTGTCCCACTAGGCAGGCGTTTCACATGGTTTAAGATGTGCTTGTAGGTGTAAAAAGGAAGTAAGATAAGTATTCTGGAATGGCCCAAATGAAAAGCGGGACAAATAGTTTGGGACAGAGCGATTAACACTAAAGCCACTTAGGACTACACAACTGACCTCACATGGAAACGATGCATTGATAGCATAAACTATAGCAGGAACCAACTATGGTTGTAACATAGATTTCATGTATCTTAGAGCCGATCGCAGCATGGCTCTAGCTTTTCTATCTGGTGTGCACCCAGACAAGAGCATTTCCTCGTACACGTCTGGAACCTGAATTCCAAAACAACCTTTAACTTTATTACTACATCACTGCAGATAAGTATTACAATTGAATTTCTGGTAGCAGAAGAATCCCCTAAATACCTAAATATAATGCAACCTGATACATTTGTAAGAAGTAAGCAAAATTAATAGTACTGTGAGTTGTATCCTATCTGTTAAACCTACCTAACCTTTGTTCTAAAATAAAGACTGCTACCAAAGTGAAAACTTCCTATTCAGCCAATTGGACTACATCCAACAACACAGAATAGAGGGTGGAGTTCACACTTGACTATACATTATTGCTCAATTTGATCATAAGATAATGAAATTTGGACACAATTTCATCTTCGTACATATTTGGTTCTAAATACAACATCCAAGCTATAAACCCAAAAGAGCTTGGGGTCGGCGTGGCTACATGGATCGAAATATGAAATCGAAGCTAAAAAGGATACGAAAATATCAATCCTCCACACTTATCCCTCCACATCGCTCTCTTCAAAGTCATACTTTCATCCAACCCAAGAAAGACCATGTCAATCCTGACTACTCTAGTCCACGTATGGTGGGTCGTCCTCTCCCTCACCTCTTTGTCTCTCTTCTCCCCATCTCTCAATTCGTACAACAGATGCGTCATTCGATCTTCTAAAAACATGGCCAAACCACCACAAATGAAACTCTGGCATCTTATCTTCAATATGTGTTACTCTTACTTGTCTGTTTTTCACATTCACTAAACGGTCTTTTCTAGTCCACACGTCTCGTTGGGTCGTCCTCTCCCTCTCCTCTTTTCTAATAATTGTCCGATAAAACTTACCATTCAATCTAGTCAGCACACTTCGACCACATAGAAATCCTAACACATTCTTCCAATTCATTCATATACTTAAATTTTATGGGATAAGCTCATTGTCCTTTTGAATTATGGAACCCAAATAACGATCATATCACTACCGTTATCTCCATAACATCCAAGGTAACCTTATTGTTGGCATTGTTTCTACTTCCACTAATTTTGCACTTTCAACTCACTCTAAAACCCTTGCTCTCCGGAGTTTGTAGCCATACTTCCAATTTGTTTTAACGCCGGATCTTGTCTCATCAATAAACACAATATCTTCGAGAAACATCATGCACCACAATATATCTTCTAAAATTGACTTTGTAAGTTTATCCATGACTACAGTAAATAAGAAAGGACTCGGAGCCGATCATTGGTGCACTCTAATTGGTAATAAGGAATTCTACAGTACTGCCTACACTACTATGAACACTTAAAATACAATCATCATAGATATGATGCTAATATACCTAGGGGTGTGCACCGGTTCAAAACCGGACCGGACCGGAACCGGAACCGGATTTGCCATGATATGGAAACCGAAAACCGGATCGAATGTATTCCGGTTTTTATCAGGAACCGAACCGGTTTATCCTGTTCAAAACCAGATCCAGACCGGAAAAACCGGTTTCTAAATAAATAATTCTTTTCTTTACTAAAAAAGCTACTGATGATTTGATAAAGATGGAGTACTTATTATTATAAATATTACTTTTATTATTATTGTTTTCTAAACTGATTTTAATTCATTTTAGTGAGCAAATATTGGAGTAACTTGAGACTAGAATAATATATATTAGTTAGTTTTATTATTACGAGAATAAAAATGAACGGATAAATATAATATTAGGATAATATATTATAATCATTATGAAATTGATTGCTATTTTATATTGTTATTAGTATGGAGTATTATTTTATATTTTATAACTATTATTATATTAGTATTACTAAATATAATTTTAAAAATATTGCATCTATGAGTAAAAATATAGTATATACCTACGTGATACACCTTTTCTAGTTATGCATCCAGAGCATCTATGTTCTTTTTAACTTTTCGACCTTCTCAATTCTTTTTTTACTAAAGTGTTCTTTTATTATAGTTGATTTCAAAACAAATTTAAATTTTGATTTATTTTCTTCAAAACAAATTTGATTTTATTTATTTATTAGTAATTAGTAATTGATAAGTCTTTGGTCTTATGATTAATTTATTATTGTCTTATGGATTATGTTGTTTCTATGATTAGATGTTTTACTCCTTGAAGTGTGATGGTGTCTAGTCTTAGGAGTGTTGGCTACAAGTATCACATCTAGTATACAAAACTTATTATGCATTTATTATTGTACTTATGTCGACGTATCGCCGCGATGTCGCCACGGCAGGCGCCATATCACCATGGCGGTCTAGTGCTGTCGTGTTGTGACACCCCACCATAAAAACTATGGATAAAGTACTTTGGGCAACTTGCTGGCATTTTGTTTTCTCTCTATATCATGTTCAACAAACGTGTTAATCACTTAACACCTTTCTCACCCAAACTTCTCCCGACCTCGATTGGTATGCCATTTGAAACCACTGCTTTCTTTTGTCACATTTATCCCACTGAACAATGTATCAAAGTACGGCTTCCATCTCTCTTTTATTTTCTCATCCTCCATCGGTACCCTTTGATCGACATCCTTTTTCTTTTCCTTTCTTCTCTTTTATTCTTTCTTTCTTCTCGTTCTCTTCATTCCCAGATCCCAGGTACACCGGCCTCCTGCAACTTCTATTTTCTTTGTTCTTTTCTTCATTCTCACGTTGCAACTTTTCTTTTCTTTTCTTCATTCTCACGTTGCAACTTTTCTTTTCTTTTCTTTCTTTCTCTTTCTTTTTTTTTTTTTGCTCTTCCAGTTCACCAACTACAATTCCCGTTCATGTAGATCCGTTTCACAACAGGGAAGGAATTCAGGAAATTCTCGCCATCACCGAGGACTGCGGCTGCCATAACTGGGTACTACGCCGCCATCTTCAGGGACTGCATCCATCCTCCTCCCGCTGTCTTTTACATTCTACTCGTGCTTGCAGCCCTAAAGTAAAATACTCTAGGCTCTCCTTCTCTGGAGGCGTGATGCTTCCAGAAGACTCTTCCATTGAGCCGGTGTTGGTTTGCTTGGTGCTAAAATGGCTAAGATGCCAAGACGGCGATGGCCGAAAGTAAGTTATAAATAAGTTAAAGATAAAAATAACATAAGAACGTAAAAAGATAAAGAAAGTAAAGGATAAAAGAAAAGGAGAGAAAAAATAGAAAAGAGATCAATCTTCCACACAAATGTGCGTCCTCCACTTTGCTCTCTCCAAAGTCATGCTCTCATTAATTAATGAAGTCACAAACTCATTCTATGTTAATTATTATTGTGAGTTTTCTTTATTAATATTTAGTCCCTGAATATTATGTTTAGTACCTAATTAAGTACGTGACTTAATTGTGGAATGCTGCACTTTAAAATAAGCATACTATTCTAATTGTCCCTGATCTAATATTATTAATTTGGAACATTAATAATTAATAGACCAGTATGTGGAATAATTGATGCTATATTCCACTAGTCATGGGTATAGAGATATCAAGTTAATAACATCGATGTTTGTTAGTGAACAAGTTCATTGGACAGACAAAACTTGAGGACACTGCTAGGTTATATGTCATCATTGTTGTCCTCAATAATGATGAGGTGCTATATTCTTATACTTGAGATAATCATGATTACTTACATGGGAATTAATATGTATTAACACCATTAAATATTATCTTTAAATGGGTAATTATAAAGGTGGTGATTGTACATATTATGAATCATGTAGTGGTATGTGAATTATCAAGATAGTTTTTGTCACTCTCTATAGCGAGAGAAAGATATCTATTGGGCCTCTTGACAAGTAAGATTAAATAGCATGGCCATGCCCAAATGAGGTGTCATTTGTTCAAGATTAATCTTACTTGGCAATCAAGAAATATTAATTGAGAATAACAAGATGACACGATCTAACCTTGTCTCAATTAAGATCATTTGACAAGAGAATTATTAGCACAAATTAATCATCAAAAGGTTATGTCAGATTTAATTGACATTTATATATTTTGGATAGTCATAATGCCTTGCTAGAGGCCGCTTATGATTTGTGAGGCTTGAATTAATTTTCTAGTCCACTGTCAACGATATATAAACCTACATGGTCACACATCTAACTGATTTGGATCATTAATGTTTGTTAATAACATTAAAATAGGCTGATTAGCCCAATTCAAAACAGGTTTTCCAATGGTATTGGGCTAGGGACTCCTTCTTTCCTCCTCTTATAAATAGGGCTAAGGAGACCCACAAATTTTAAGAGTTAAAATTCACATCTTAAAATCTAGAGAGAGAAAGAAAGAAGAGAACGCTACCACATTCCCGGCGGCCGATCCAGTCACGTGTGTGTGGATATCGGTAAAGCTCGGGATCGTTTTCCCGGACTGTCTGACATCCTTGCTTAAGATTGCTATGTAAGTCCCTCTTATGTCATGTAATTTCGTTTATAGTAAGAACCTCATATCTGATTGTATACTTTTGGGCAGTAATTTTTTTGTTTATACTGTTGCGTTTTTCTGCCCGAATTCCAACACATATCAGTTCTGATTCTTCTAATCCAAGTTTGGGTCTTCCCCTCAGTCTCCTCTTTGTCTCTTCTTCCCACCCCTCAAGTCATCTAACAGGTGCATCATTCGGCTTTCTACGCACATGCCCAAACAACCGCAAACGAGACTCCTGCGTCTTATCTTCTATAGGTGTTACACTCCCACCTTTTGTCTGATTATTTCATTCCTCACGCGGTCTTTTCTGGTATGTCCACACATCCAACGCAGCATACGCATCTCTGCCACACTCATCTTTTGAATGTGACATTATTTCACCGCCCAACACTCTACGCCATACATTAATGCAAGTCTAATTGTTGTTCGATACAATTTACCTTTCAGTCTAGTCGGCATACCTCGATCGCATAGAAATCCTGATGCACTCTTCCATTTCATCCACTCAGCTCTGATTCTATGGGATACATCTCCATCTAATTCACCATCCTTCTGAATTATGGAGCCCATGTAGCGAAACATGTCACATACCGGTATCTCCTTGC